TTTCAGTCTAAAAATTGATAAACGAAATCAGCGCCCAGCTTCAAATAAGCGCCCCCCTTCGAATTAGCGCCACCCTCTCGCCTTAGAAAATTAAATAAGCGCCCCAGGCGCTAACTCGAGCATTTACGGTAACTGGTTAAAGCACTTTGAAGCCATTCACTTGGACTGGCCTAAAGGTGGCTACGCTGAAAAAATATTAGCCATACATTTGAGTAAGATGACACACAAAGCTTTTAATAACCTTTAGAATTTTCATCTTTCAGTTCCTGGCTCAGGTTGGAAAAAGAAAATAAGTACCTGGAGTCGAAGCCAGAAATCACAGTACCTTGAAAAGTATGTAACTAATTACCATTGTTTAGAAATTGCATAACTACACTGCACCTGTGCCCTTATTTTATTATCAATGACTGGTATAGCATGACAGAGCTGAATAATGAAATGCTACGTCAGCGGGTTGCCGTCAACAACGCGGGCTCAAGTGTCCTAGGTCTAAAATTTAGCGAAATTAGCGGAAAATAGTAAGGGCTGACTTTTAAACTGAGGAACTCTGATTTCGTTGAAGGCATTTTCCAATTTCCAGAGATTTTAAGGAGAAAATTAATTTTTGAAACTTTTCAAGGGGTGTACCAAGTTTTTGGAGGTTGTTCTGTAAAAGAAAAGCGGCAAGGAAAACGACACCTCGAAGCAACAGAATAGGAAATCATCCATGCAAACGACTCAAAATCCGTGTTTCCGCGGCAAAATCTAGCACATGCGTGCACGTTATTCAGCTCTGTTGTATAGCATTACTTGTCAAAAAGATTGGAAGTAGAAGGTGCAAAGAATTAAGTAGCAGGATCAGCACTCCAGTGGTTTTTTTAAATTACGTTAAAAGGAGCATCGTACAGTTACCTTTACCTCTGTAATATTCACAAACTTTTTCAGTGTTAGAAAACACTTGCTACCACTGGGAAAAGGTCTAAATGTGAAAATTAGAAGTTAAGGAAAGTATGACCTATTACTACCTTTAGCAAAGGCCCTTTTTAAGAAAGAGAAACCATAAAAAGGTGGTGACTGATGTTTATTCTTTGATTTGTAGCAAGAGTGGGGAGTCTGTCAAGTCAGAAGAAGTTGAATATGGATCCAGAAAAACTCGCGTTTAAATTTCCTGGACATGGTACCTTAAAAGAATATATAATGGGGTGGTACTTTACATGAGCGTGGAGGCGCGGTGGCCTCATGGTTAATGCGCTCAACTCCGAATCGAGTGGTCCGGGTTCGAGCCCCGGCCGGGACAATATGTTGTGTTCTTAGGCAAGACACTTTACTCTTACAGTACCTCTCTTCACCCAGGTGTTTTCCCCCGGCGATGGACTGGCATCCCATCCAGGAGGGGAGAAGAAATACTCCTAGTCGCTTCATGCTACAGAAACCGGAGTTAAGCATCAGCCTAATGGGCCACTAGGCTCGTAAACAGACTTTACCTTTACGTTTCATAAGCAACTTGATATAACTTTTGAGTGCTTTTGAACTACGAGGCAGTTTGCATGTGTTGTCAATTAATGTTCATTTTACTCTTAATTCTACTAAAAAGGCCTCAGCTTGCTTGTTACTGATATTTGTTTGTTTTGTTTTGTTTTTTTTTTTAATGTAGCAATAGAAAGGGAACTCTCCCAATTCAGATGTTGAAGTTATGTATT